TGTTCATGTCGCATCCAGGAGCAGCCAGTCTATTCCGGACATATTACTGGTATGTCGGTATAGATTCCACATACAAAACCAACAGGTATGTTACATTACGTTATAAATAGTAATATAATGTGAATCTTAAAATAGTATGGTTGAGTAAGTTTTTGATTCTATTTTTTTTCTTCTTGCTGCTTTCATTTGCACAGGTACCACATGCCGTTGGTTGAGATGATTGGAATGACGTCATGCAATAAGAATTTCTTAATTGCTTATGCAATTATCAAGGACGAGACCGAGTACAGCTATGACTGGGTCCTACAGCGGTTGAGACTCTTGATTGGGCCTGATGTAGATCCTACAGTCATTGTCAGTGACAGGGAGTTGGGGTTGATCACTCCTATTCAGAGGAATTTTCCGACGACGCCCCATTTACTCTGCACGTGGCACATCTACAAGGATGTGGAAGACAGGGTCTGTCGATTAACGTCGACAACCACAACTAAAAATAAGATCTTCGCGCAGAAGTTCACGCACGGCAAGTGGAAGAAGGTTGTCGAGGCGAACACGTGTGACAAATACAAAACTGCCGTAACTGATTTGGCTGTTACATACGCGATGTTTCCTCGTGTGCTGGAATATGTGGATCAGACATGGCTAGTGCACAAGGAGAAGTTTGTCAAAGTGTGGACGGACACTGTCTTACATTTTGGCAACACAACGTCGTGTAGGGTGGAGAGTTCCCACGCTACATTGAAGCGGTGGCTTAACACGTCGACTGGTTCGCTCGACACGGTTTGGGAGAAGATTGACAAAGAGATTGATTCTCAACTGACTAAAGTCAGGTATATTTTTTTAATTTATACTGTAAGACTGTGTTATTAATGCATTGATTATAAATTTTACTTCGGTCGAATGTTATGTTATGTAATGTATTACCAGGGAGACGCTGGAGTCTTCGAGACTTAGGATGAGTACGGGCTGCAGGGAATTCCCTTTCGAGCAGTTGACACTGCGGGTCTCGCATTACTGTATTGATATATTGAATGATGAGCTTCAGAAGATGCGAGACTTCGGCAAAGATGTTTCGGAGCGCTGCGATTGTGCCCTAAAATACACTCATGGACTTCCTTGTGCCTGTGAGCTAAGGGAGGCACACACTGTACGTAGAAATATTACGACCGACGACATCCACATCTTCTGGAGCACACTAGAGGTGATGCAGCCAGGTATAATTGCGAGATTAATAAATCTATAGAACATCATTAAATACATTTTTTTTCTTCTAAATTTTATTTAATTTATACAAATTTTGATAGAGCATATTGTATAATTCTTTAAATTTTCGATACAGACAGGTCAGCAGAGTGCATCGGCGAGTGGATGGACTGATCATGATTATTTTCGGAGGCTTGCCGAGGAGGTTGAAGCGGCCGATCCTGCGACTGTACGGTACCTGAATCATCTCATCGACTCTCAGCTTCACCCTGATCAACAGGGATACACAGAACCTGCAGTGAAGGAAAATCCGAGAGGTCGACCCAAGAAGAAAAATTCAACAAAACGCGATCTATCGAGATGGGAGCACACGGAAACAGGTCGTCGGCCGGGGCGTAAAAGCACTTCTTCGTGTGCTCCATCGCAATCGGGGTACACGGAAACAGGTCATCGGCCGGGGCGTAAAAGCACTTCGTCGATGTGGGACTACAGGGAAAGAGGTCGTCCGGTGGGTCGTACAAGCATTTCTTCGTGTGCCCCGACAAGCTCATCGTCTCAAGATCCGACAGGTAATTTAATTTTACTTTTTATCTGAACGATGACTAATTATGTTTGTAAATTCAATTACATAAATTATGACGTGAAATTATTCTGATATTACAGATACATTCGAGACGGATTTTTTTCAGTACCGACATTGTGGTAGGATTCCCTACGTAGTTCACAGCTACGTACAGAGTTATCTGGATGTGACGCCGGACGGGAACTGCGGATTTCGGGTGGTTGCGAGTTACATTTATAGGGATCAGCAGAAGTGGGATGTGGCAAGAAGAAATATTGCAAATGAGGTTGCAGCCAACATTCATTTGTACGCTCCATTTTATTGGGATGGGGTCGACGTCGCAATCGATCGTATAAGATGGGACGGGGGTCCTTGTGGCGAGGAGCATTGGATGAATGCTACGGGCGACCTCTTTGCTATTGCTACACTGTTCAATGCAGTTGTCGTGTTGCTAAGCTATGGTCCCAACGATAACAATATGGACATGGCTAGTATGACGGTATTCCCGATCCGCGCACCATCCACGGCTACACGACCTGACTGTGAGATCGTCATAGGTCATCTTGGTTCCTACTCGCACTTCATTCGTATCAATCTGTGTTCTGATTCTCCATTACCGCCTTTGTGTTTTTTTTGGGAGAAATACCGAGATGTTTCGGTTCGAGATTGGCCGTATCAGTACCAGAGCAGGTTCCAGTTGTGGAATGATATTCATACTGCAGCTGAAATTTGATATATTGTGATATTCGACTTATGTCTGCGGTTTTTTTTTTTAAATTTTATTTTCATGCGTTACGAGTGATAGATTGTGATATCTCGCCGTGTCTACCGTTTCACGTGATATAATGAGAGAATTTTTTGTTTAGATGAAAATAAAATTAACTAACCACAAATAAAAAAAACACAATTCGGGTGGTTTCTGACAACATCCAAAACAAAATATATATAAAAAAAAAGTAATTATTACATCACTACTGCGCTCTGTCGAAATCCAACCTCAACTGAGCCAGTTTTTCTGCATAAATTGCCGCCATATCAGGAGCAACTGTCGCGAACTCCCGATGCATATCTGATGAAAGGGACATGGACCGTCCGACCCACTACACAAAGCACAAGGAAAATATATACACATAATTAAAATATAAAAAATAATTGTAATGAACGAATACTAACTAAATTTAGTAAACGACTTACGTAATCTGTGTTGGCGCGCGCAGGGACAGCCTCGTTGTCCGCCTGACTGTCGGGCAAGAGTCTAGGATGAGAATATCGCTCATACCATCGCCAGTAGTCCTCATGGGCCGCCCCTAGATCATCTGCGGTGGTGGGAGTACAATCAGACAAGGTGGTAGAATGCAATACCGGGAACTGATCCCAGTGATCTACTGCAGCATCCGATGCATGCTCAACCCTGTACATCCTAGCATTCCAACCCCGAAATACCGTGATCGGCCGATCCATGCGGGGAGGGATCGTCTGGACGTAACCCAACTGACGCAAGAAACGCATAGGCGTGTACGGCTCCACAATATCCCGGTACCTAAGGCATCCGTAAAAAAAGGGTCCTGGGCTCCTGCAAATGTGGGTTGGGGCCGTATGGCAGCCAGTTTACCTGTTCACAATTGCATAAAACATTTATTCAAACAATTCGAGTATTCTAAATAACTTTCAAGTGAATGTAATAAAATAACTTAACGTACCTCGGCGGCTGTGAGTCTGTCAAGCTGCCTACGGAAATGCTTGAGGCGCTTATCTGAGTTATCTGGGATGGGGGTCCTCCACAAGGCTGATCGGGCCAAGCTGTCAGGCTCGGAGGCCATACGCGAACCGGCGGGTCGGAAGGTGGGGAAGTACTCGTATATCCAGGACTGCATGAGAGTCAAGCAGCCTGCCACTCCCCCCGACTCCCCCCTGCTGGTCATACCTAAATGTCTGAATAAGTATGCCAGTGCGGCCGAGCCCCACGAGTAAGTCCCAACACTCTGCAGGTCCTCCATCATCTCATGCAGGATCTTGGGACTGACCCTGTTACCACTCTTGTCTGTAAACAAGGTGGTAGAGAGCAGCACCCACAGCCAGCCAATCGCCACATGCTCAGCCGATCGACCTGCGCCATTTTTCTCCAACGCAGTAAAAACGGCTTCATTCGTCACCGAGCCGTGACCCCAAAACTTCGCTGTCAGCGTTGCCTGGTCCACCCCCAGGAGCTCCATGCAGTGCGCTTGCTGTGTCAAGGTGTCGGGGTCCCCTGTGACTACCGCACCCTCGACAGAAACCCCCAATATCGCCCTCACGTCGTGCAACATGATACTCATTTCACCAAAAGGCAGGTGAAACGAGTTGGTATCCGGCTGCCAGCGCTCCACAAATGCTGAAATAAGAGGAGTGTCGATGTGGTCATGCATGCTGGACGCCAAATGTGACAGCCCGGTCGGACGGATCAGATCTAGCGGAGCCTCAGCCATCTGTCCGAGCCACTCCCTCAAAACACCGTTCGCTGACATCCTGTTTTGGCACTTCAACGTGCCTCTAACACGTCCTGTCCAAATCCGGGAGGCTACGTGCTCTAGAAAACTAGGGATAATAGTCCCGTCAAAGGGGCCACCGGGTACTGGGGCTTTAACAAGCCAGTCGTCACACTTAGTGCGTTTGCTACTCGCCCCTGTATTATAATAGAACAATCAATATATATACGACATATTGTATTTGATTGTATCAATGATGCGATGTTATTAAATAAAATAATATCTAATGGTAAACAACAATAAGTACGTAATTTTTTTACCTGAAGATGAGGCAGCGCTCGTATAACGGCCCCCAGTCTGTCGTGGAGGATCAACTCGGCCGAGTCGTTTAGCTGGACGTGCCTGTGGCTGAGTCTGTGGCTGCTCAGCTACATCAAAGTAATCATCATAAGCCTGCTCGTCATCATCATATGTCTCCTCGTCATCATCATAGGCCTGCTCGTCCTCATCATAGGCCTGCTCGTCGTCGTCATCATCATCATCATGCCTTGAACTCCTGACTGTCGACTCAATGGAGTCCCGCCGACGAACAATACGTATAGTCGGGAGACGTGGAGAACTGCTAGGCCTCACTGACAAGGACTGCTGACCACTCCAACTGCCAGGCATGAATGGGCCAGACTGAGGCATGAGTGGGCCAGACTGCTGACCACTCCAACTGCCAGGCATGAGTGGGCCAGACTGAGGCATGACTGGGCAAAACTGCTGACCACTCCAACTGCCAG